CTGAAAGTGAGATTGGACCACAAGAAGTAGATTTGATTTGCAGCCAGCCTGGAAGATCAATAGAGGATGTGTCCCAACGCCAATTCAGTAGGCATTTGATATTAGCAGCCCAATAATAAATTAGAAAATTTGGCAGAGCCATTCCTTCATATCTTTTAGGTCTTTGCAGAAACAACTTCCTGATTCTAGGTGTTTTATTATTCCAGATAAAAGTTGAAATAACTCTATCAAGTTTTGTAAAAAATGTTTTTGTAAGAAAACAGGGAATACTGTACATGAATAAAAGTAGACCATTTACAGATTAAAATGATGTACTACACTTACGTGTATGATCAAACATGACGACGCATTTTAAGTTCTTTTCACGGTTACCAGAAAAAAATGCAAGTGTCCCCGCCGGCGGGTCCGCCGACTCCTAAGGGTTAACAACACAATCAAATCATTTCCTTACAAGTGGGGAGATAAAACAGACAGTCCACAGCCCATTCCCATTGCATTCTCCAGTCGAAAAAGTATCAGAGGAAATGCCCACGAAAACTGGACCCTCATCAGACTGCTCCCACTAATGATAGGACACAAGATACCACTGAATGATCCTGCATGTAATGTAATCATGTGTCTTAAAGACATAGTTGAACTTGTGGTTGCACCAACCCAAACTGAAGCAAGTTTGTCATATCTTGACACAACGATTTCTGAGCATCGACTTAGATTACTTGCTGCGTTTCCTCAGGTTAAGTTGCTCCCCAAACACCACTACCTGGAGCACTATCCAGCGCTCATTAAAGCGTTTGGACCTGTCATTGCACTTTGGACGATGCGATTCGAGGGAAAACATCGTTATTTCAAATAAATTGTAAGACATACAGGGAATTTCAGAAATGTACTATTTTCCCTTGCAGCCAAGCATCAGTTGATGATTGCACAGCATCTGCATGTAACTACAACAGTTCCCACGTTTAGTACTGGCAGAGTATCCCAAGTGCCCGTAGCTGTTTTGCATTCAAATGTACATAATGCAATAAGAAGAGTGTCTCCAGGTCAGACTACTGTACATCTTTCCAACACTGTGTCAGTTTATGGAACTACATACTCTAAAGGCATGATTTTGGCCTATGGGTCTACTGCAGGACTCCCAGACTTTATTGAAGTTCTTCAGACAGTAATTTTGAGAGACAAGGTCCATTTCATTGCTAAAATATTAATTTCCTGGTATGATGAGCACTTTCGATCATTTGAGCTGGAGAGCACAGAGCTTGTAGTTTTTGTGGAACAGAAGGATCTCACTGATGTATGTCCGCTCTCAGACTACAAGGTTGCAGGAAGGCGTATGGTGACACTGAAGCGCCATATTTGTCTGGAATAGATACATGTTTCGTATACAGTTTGGTATACTGTAATTCAGGTGGTACTGATGTATGCAATAGAATGCTTGCTAAACAATGCCAGACTGAATGTAAAAATTATATGTTGTTCTGTCATCTTTTTAAGGCTACATCATCAAAATGGAGGCAGCTGTAAAATTTCGAGTCATCCTTGACCATGACATAAAGAAACTTTGTCTTCCTGGAATGCCACATACAGTTAAAGACTTGGAAGCGACAATAAAACAAACATATGGGATCTCAATGGACATAAGCCTTCAGCGCAAAGACCAAGATTTTGATGACTTTGTTACTTTAAGTTCAATTGATGACCTGAAGGATAGTGTATGTTCCACCTGTCATTTTGTTTACAAATGCTGACGTTCCTGAGCTCCCAACAGAAGATTGCTCTGTCTCCAGATCAGTGTCAGAAAATGACTCTGTGTCTCTACCATCAACATCAAGTGGGTCCATGTCTGTTGAATCTGATGAGACTTTAATACTCAGTCCCCGTAGCACTGGAATGCACAAGCCATGGCCAACTGAATTTCCTATTCCTAAGTTTTCATATAACACTGAACTAGTGCTTCAAAAAGGCAATGAAAACTACCTCATAGATGGTTCCCTTTTGTGCAAAGAGAAGTCTTACCCTGGCGTTAAGTCCAACATTCTGGAATGTTTAGCTGAGCTCATCTTTTCTTACACTCCCTACCCAAGTGATGCACAGCGATGTGCAGTCGCAGAAGCTCTCATAAAAAAGAACCCATTTTTGAAGGAGCCAGGCTCCTTCAATGGTCTCTATGGATGGCAGCAGAGCCTGAAGTATAAAGTAGGAAACTACCGAAGCAAACTTCGGGTGCATGGGATTCCAGAAGTCTTGGTGAACTCTCTAAAGCGCAAATCTTCTGAAGACAAGCAACCAGCAAAGAATATAAAAAAACCCCGGAAAGCTGAGGTAAACTACCTGCCCTCTCACCCAGCTGGGGAAACAGAAGATTCCCTTGAGAGTAACAGGCTGGAGTTGATTTCTGAGATAAAGAAAAAGAATAACAGCAGAGTTATAAATGAGATGATGTCAAGAACCTTCAGTTTGAGAAGACAGGAGATTGTAGGTCAAGCCCCAAGTGTTGCAGATCTTCTAGAGAGATGGCCTGCCCTATTTCCACCATCACAGGTAAGGTATACTCAGCAGAGGTGACTAGCTAAAATCCAATTCTTTGTCATCTACTGGTATTGTTAAAAATTACAGTGCAGTATGCACAAAACTTTCTTCACCATCAGACTCTGTTTCTTTTATGCTGTGCCACATTCAGTTGAATTTCACATTGCTCAATTATGGTAAATGGCCGATAGTTGTGAAGACAGGGCACATAAGGCAACAAACTTGACCAAAGATTAAATTTCATTCTTGCATTTTTCATGCTTAAAAATAACTATATAGTGAATATGTACCTTTACTGCTTGACACTGTCCATGATTTTATTTTGATTGAAAACTGATTTGTATCCAAAACTCTCATGTTGTTTAAATCACAGAGAAAAACATCTCTCTTTTGGTATGTAACTAAGATGGTATACTTCTCTTTACAGATCTGTGAAGAGTTTCTGAGAATCAGTGGCATATCACTTGAGTCAACATTTATGTCACAGTTGGACAGGCAAACTCCAAAGCTGTTGTCACTTTTCAACGCAAAAGGAGGAGCCGTTGGTCAAAGAATCAAGTCCCAAATGATGACACTTATCCAGGTGAGAGGAAAAAATGGTGTTATGTAAAAATGTATTCTCTATCATGTAGTCATCAATATTTCACCGTGTTCTAAATGGGAAGGATGGCGGTGTCTGTGTATCTGAAGTATATGTTGAAATCTACTGAGCCAGTTGTTATGACACATGGTGAGCACATTCATACTACCCAGAAACTGATCATGAGACCCCCCACCTCTCATTCTATAAAAGACAACTACATGTAAGGCACTGTTTTAAGAGTAGCATAGTTTAAGAGGATAGTTAGCCCCCACAGTGAGTTAACATGACCTTGCTATTATGTTGATCTAGTGTGAAAATGTATGCCCAAACATTCAGTGAAGTTACACTTCCTCTGTGTACTCCAGGACTGTTCTTTTTGTTAATAGACATGCTGGCTGCATATGTATGTAAGTGCACAAGTAATGTAATTCCATTGTCACCATTTTCCAAGACTGTGCCTTGCTCCTAAGCAGTCTCTTTACACATTAAAGGTCCACTAAAACATGTTTAAGAAAGCGTTTGAGGTGAGAAATAGACAATGTACTAATAGAAGCTTGATTCATATTGATGAACACAGCCTACTTGGACAGTTAAATCTAAATTTTGTGAACTGTCCCCCTTGCCTTTTTTTGAGTAAACAACATGCACATGTTTTTTTGCTTTGTTTTTCCGGATTCCGGAATCCGGAAACTTTTTGCAATTCCGGAAATTCAGGATCCGTGACTTTTGATCAGATTTTACTTTTTAACAGGATCCATCTGCCTCTGTGGAGAAAAGGAGAGAAGTGGTCCTGAGATGCCTGATTGAGTATATGGGGGAGAGACAGGAAGACCTCATCAGTGTCCACCACGTATGTATTGGGCTTAAAGCTACTTGTCTATTTTTCTGTTTGTATGTATTCATATTGTGAGGCACATATATTCATCTCATTACCTGTTTGTCTGACCAAACTCTTGATTCTTTTTTTGTCTCCACCAATAGAGTCATGATGAAACAGAGGTACACGCTGAGCTTGGCAGTTGCCCACTGAAAATTTACATGTGCCATCAGCCCGACACGATTGGGATCATCATAGAAGGACAGCCCGTGGTCAGAGGTGTGCCAAACCTGTCGAAAGCATGCTGCCTCCTGTTTGGACTTACCTATGCCCTCGACCTCAAGTATCCCTCAAAAATGATGTATACTTTTGAGATATATCAGAGGCTCTTTGTGGGATTGGACCCCATGCGTCCTAAGCCATCATCCAAGTATGCAAATCTCCTTACCAAGTTGTCTTAGATTATTTCTCAGTGGCATCTGGCATTGTTTGCCATCATTTGAAAAAATGCAATCACTTTGGTAGGTGAGTTTTTTGATTTGAAATAATTAGTCTTACAGTTTTTGTTTGTTTTTGACCTTAAGACTCATTTGACAGGTACAAGTTGCTCAGGTAATATAATTAGGGTATGTATTAGGTGGCCACCCTAAATATAATTTACATGGTTATTTTCCTTTTTTTGTTCATTGTTCAGTGCCTTAATTAATGTGGACTTTGGCCTTTGTTCTGTGCCGATTATTACCTCATGAGGTAAATACTCAACAGTGTTGTGTGCACAATTTGGAAGTTCTTAAAAATAATAGTTGGTCAAAATATAGAAATACTGTAATCATTTTTGACATTGCAGTTCCAGTGTGGTACAATGTGATGTTATGGCTCACATTTACCTTTATCTAAACATTGCAGATTGGGCAGTTTGGATATTTCACTCTACTGTTCAGAACAAGTTGAAAATACACTTAATACACTTATTGTGTACATTTGTGGCCACATTTATTGGCTGTTTTGTAATCCCTGTTAAAAGTGACACTGGTTGACATTGAATAAATGTTATTCAAATGTTATCTTCAATCTATCTTCCCATCTTTTTCTTCTTCAATTTACTTTGTAATTGTTATTGACAAAGTCTGTTTATGTAAAGTTAATCACTGTAGTACTTAGACTATATAGCCATTTAGATTTTTTTCTGAGGTTATAGGCAGGACTCAATTAAAATGTTTATTCACATATGATTAGGTTAATTTTACTAAGAAAATAAAGTTCATAAAACCTAATTAAAATGAGTACAGGTTACTTGTAGCAACTCATAAATAAGTTACCTGTACCAATAAAAGTAGGTTTATCTAACTGAGCAATACTAGTACTATTAGTTAACTCAACTTGATTTTGTTGTGTTTGTATTAAGTAATGTTACAGTGTTTATTACACTTAAAAAAGGCTGCAAGTTGACTCAATTTAAAACATCCAATGCAGCCACTTGCCTCACTTTTTATAAGTTAGATCTAGGTATTACTTTTTACAGTGTAGGCGCATGTAGTTTACGGTCCCCACGACCGTACGCTTCTCCGTAACCTATCAAACACTAGGCCGACTGTGCTTAGGCAACCACACACAACATGCAAACCAGAAAAATATGCACATGCTTCTGGGGGATTTCAATAGTTTTGTACATTTATTTCTAATTTTTTTTAATGGTGATTAGGTTTTCTTAACTTATGCTGCCATAGCCATATCTGCCGGAGCATTGCATTTCATATTGCACTCATCTAAATTTTAGCACTGCCTACACTGTAAAAAAAAAAAAAATGTTCAGCCAACTCAAAAATTCAAGGCAACATGCTGCAATACATTTTTGAGTTAAGTCAACTCAGTTACAAAAGTTCAACAAATTACCTATAGACAGAGGTTCAGGTAACGTTGACTTAAGAGTTAAGGCAACACTAATACAAGTTAGATTAACCTAGGTACAAAGTTTCAATAAACTTAGATTGTTAAATTGTCAACACTATTTTGCAAGTTCGATTAACATAGGTACAGAGGTTTAGTCAACTTTGTTTGAGGAGCCAAATTAAATTTAGATAAACCTGCCTTGTTTAGGTGACATCTTAAGAGTTAATGTTTTCATTAACT